GGAGTATGACATTCCATATTTGAACCAATATTGGCTTAGTTATGGGCATATTAGTATCATTCTGAGGAGAAAATCGAGATAAACCAAATTTCGCACTTTTAATAAGGGGTAAGATCATCAAAATTTAGCGAAAAAAGACAAAATTTTACTTTTTTAACCTGGGATACAGTTTTCTTGGAATTTTAATTACAAGTTCAACGAGGTATTACATTCCATATTTGGACCATTATTGGCTTAGTTATGGGAATAATACAACCACTTTGGGGGGGAAATGAGGAGAAATCAAATTTCGCATTTTCGGTAAGGGGTAACATCGTCTTTTTTGAGAAAAATGGATAAAAATTAACAATTTTAGCTGTGAATGCAGTTTTGTTGGAAATTTAATAAAGAATTCAACGAGATATAGCATTCCAGATCCGGTTTACTATTGGCTTAGTTATGGGAATAATACTGAAACTCAAAAGAGGAAATAAGGAGAAACCAAATTTCGCACTTTCGATAAGCGGTAACACCATTAAAATTTGCAAAAAATGACAATATTTTGACATTTTAAACTGTGAATGCAGTTGGACGAGGAATTCAAAAACAAACTCAACGAGGTATGACATTCCATGATTGGACCATTATTGGCTTAGTTATGGAGAAATTACTACCGTTTATAGGGGGAAATGAGGTTAAACCCAAGTTCGCATATTTGATAAGGGGCAACATCATCAAATTTTCCTAAAAAAATACTTTTTTTAACCTTGAATGCAGTTTTACTTTTTTATGTGTGAATCCAATTTTAATGGAATTTTAATAACGATCTTAACGATGTATAACTTTCTATAATAAGGAGCATTCTTCGCCTTGCTGTGGGAGAAATACAGATTATTTTTGGATAGTTTTTAATCTTACAAAAGTTCTTACTTAACATCAAAAAATCGATTAGTATGCCTACATTATTCCTCATCTCACGATGTTAAATTCGTTTAAAAATAAATAAATGTAAAATCCATTTAAAAGAATCTTCGATTTAAAAGGAAATCGTTGAAAAATAAGTTAACGACCATTCCTAGTCATTTCATTTCGTGATTAAATTTCAAGAAAGCGTTCAAATAAAATTTAATTAAAAGAAGGGACAAGGCAGGACAGGACAGGACAGAATAAAACATTGACAGGAATCGTTATCCTTTTTATGCATTTCGCTCCTGGATTTTTAATGCAAGTAAATACCTTTTGGCTTTGGTCTTATTTTTTGGAGGGCCTAAACAGAAAGCGATTTGCATTAAACGATTATTTTACTAGCAGAGAAGAGAAGGGCAAAAAACGAGAACGACTACGAGAAATCGATTAAAAGGCTTTTGCCTCTCTTGCACGTGACACCAACAGAAGGCGGCTCCTGAAACTCTGGATTGTAGAGATTGGGGGTGGGTGGTGGTTATTTTCGAGGGGGTTGCAACGCCCATGGGCCCATGGCCAAAATGTTGAACATGGAAAGGGGCCAGGAGAGGGCGGGGGTAGTGAGCTTTGTGAGGGCCAGAGGCAAATGCGCCACATGGCAAAACGGGCATAATTGAGCCGTATAACAAGCCCAATGACCGATTAAGCCAACATGGCGAGTGACCCTCAAGTGAGCCAAATGAGTTGAGTTCAGTTTTCGGATTGGTTTCTTTTTTGGTTGAGTTTGGAGGTCGTAAAAAGAAGGAAAACCATGGAAAGAAGAAAACCTTTTCGGGGAAAACGGAAGGCAAAGTAATCTAGTTTGCGGCCTGTTTTTTTTTTGTTCATTTAATTATTAACTCAAAGGTCAAAAATGTAATCAACTTTATATTTGAAGTCCCAAAAATATGTATTATATTGCAAGAAATATACAGGGTGGCCCATGTAGCATTTGCTTTTTGAACTATCGATAATTTTGACTTTCACATTTCGAATGTCATTGTCAATGTGTCAAATATTTAGTAGAAGGTTTGCGGCTTACGAAATGGTTAACTTTACGCTTAAAGAAAATTTGGAAATATTTATATTTTTAAAGCAATTTTATAAAGCAAATCTTTCGTGGGCCACCCTTTACTTTTAATACAGTGTGGCCCATGTAGCGTTTGCTTTTTAAACTATCGATAGTTTTGACTTTGACATTTCAAATTTCATTGTCAATGTGTCAGATATTTAGTAGAAGGTTTGAGGCTTAAGAAATTGAGGAACGCAAATATTCCGTGGGCTTCCCTATATTTCATTTTTATCCTAATGGATTTTTGGAATTTGTGGCTATCTATTAACCACTTATCTTTGAGATACGACCTATGAAAGGCATCCATTACCAGAACCCAAATCAGAAATCCCCCCTTTGCCCCAGTCCTAGCTCACCTGCCGCAAAATATAACCTATCCATATTTCCACTCGTATCCCTATCAGCAATTGCCATCCATTAACATCTCCCATATCCATAATCATTAATCGACCACGTTGTTTCTATTGATTTCTTTTTTCTTTTTTCTTTTTTTTATTTTTTTTGTTTTTGGGATGTCTTTTGATAGGGGATTTTTCATAGCTTTTACGTAGGCGTTGGTACTTTTCTTCGTTTTTTTTTCGTATTTTTATTATCTTTGTGGAACATTTTTCTTTTCTTTTTTTTTTGTTTTTTGGGCGAAGAGAGTTTTTCGAGTCTGCAGCTGGCATTGGAACACGTCAACGCATTTTTTCACGCTTATCAGATCGTGCCATATAATGTAGCCTATATATATATATATATGTATATAAAGGTATGTACATTATTCCCCCACTTGGCACACATTCTGCTTTTGCTATATATATATATATGTGTAGGGGTGTGCACCTGTGTACCTGTCTGTATCTACAATTTATCTGCCGGTTTGGCGCTTATCTTATCTGAGGCTATTCGAGTGCGATGGAAACGACGACGACGACGACGACGTCGCTGAGCGGATGACGAACTTCAATTCAATTTCTTTTCAATTTCTTATTACCCACCAGTCACCAGCCATCTTAACTAGCCCCCTCTTCAGACTTTTCCTAACCCCTTTTGCTAACTTTTTTTTTTCTTTTTTGAAGCCTAAAAAGCTTTCCTATTTGCTAGGCACTTGAAAAATGTATTTTTCTGGAATAAAATTCAATTATTTTATATTTTAGAAGATTTTTTAGTTATTTTATATATTTTTTTTAATAAATTTATAAAAATTTTTATAAGCCTTTTGATGGTCTGGAATTTATTTACTGCCTTAAAGATTTATTAAAATTATTTGAATATTTTTTAAAATTTTTTGATTTTACAAACTAATAAATTATTTTTCCTAGTGTAAGTCACAGAAATATTTTCCGCATTTTCAGCTCAGCCAGGGCCAAAAAAGTGGCCTCCTCAAGTGGATGGAGGAGTTTTTTTCCTTATTTTATTATTTAATTTTTTTTTGCTTTTTTTTTTTGACTGAAACTCTGATAACTTTTCTGACTCAATGGCAGCGCCACCTGGCGGTGGCTGCTCGGTTGACGTTGGGTTTTCCTCATTTTCATTTTCACAAGGTGGAACCGAACGGTAATGATGAGCGACGGTGTCGTGTTTTCATTAAGCTTCAGAAATTTAAATATGTTATAATAATAATGTTCGCCATGTGAGTGTGTGCGAGTGTGCGAGTGTGCGAGTGTGCGAGTGTGCGAGTGTGTGGGTGTTGAGAGGGAAAATCTGAGTAGGAGTGAGAAAAATACCAAGACACGAAGATGAACAAGAAGACATTGTCTTAGTCCCCAGCCTTTTGATCCTAATCACAGCCCCACACACAGACGGGTGAGATTTTTGGCATACTTCTTATAATTTCACCACCCACATTCACACAGCGACCTCCAGAAGCCGCCCAACCACCCACACATCTTATCCTTTGCATTTTGCGGCTTGCTGGAAATGTTAATTTTTCCTCTAATGGGAATGGGCGTAAGAAAAAAAAGAAAATCTACTGCTGTCTTGCTGTGTGAAGAAAATTACTTTCTAAACAGTGAGTTAAATTGCTGTCGAGATTTTCTAGTTTTTTTTGTTTCCTTTTAACACATTTCCCCTCCCCCTCTTTAAGTTTTTCCAAGCCAAAATTAAATGCGACTGACTGACTGTTTGCATTGATATAATTTGATTTTAATTTTCATTTACGCAACATTGCAACACCTGAATGTAATTAAATTGCATTTTAGGTTTTTGCATTGCAATTGCCCGGCATGAATATTAATTTTAATGCTATTTATTTTGTTATTTTGTTATTTTGTTTTTTGTTTTTTGTTAAAACGCAAATACAAAAATGAAATAAATATAGAAGTTAACTAACCTAACCTTTTTGGGTCTACTTTAATTTTGTTTTTATTAGCAAGTTTCGAGCTAGTTAACTCATTTGAAACCCATAAACCATGAGTTTAAACTTGTTTTGCCAACAAAGGTATTAACTGATCTCACTTCAATGTTGTGACCCACAAAAGCAATGACCCCCTAAGCAGTTATAATGTATTATAAAATTAGGTAAATTAATCAGAGAATAATCTAACTTTAGTTCATTGTCGAAATTTGAAGTTATTTTGTGGCTTAACTTTAACATTTATTTACAAATTAGAGATGAAAATATATCATCTACAGAAAAATCATTAACTTGTCATATGGAACTAATTAAACTATCGATATTTTTATAAAATTGGTTAAAACTTAGGTTTAGTTGGCCTTAAGGAAACCTTTTTATAACCCGTATATGTTTTTATAAAATTTTCTAATATGATTTTGGTATACAAGTTGTTCTGATTACTTTCTGACTTTCCTTTGATTGAAAAACTTTTAATAGAGAAAAACTATTCTATCGATATATACCATCCTATCGATATACAATTTATGTTTTGTGACTTGAAAAAGTAATAGAACCTTTTGATATCAAATATCGAAAAAGTTACAGTTAACAGATCACAATATATATTTATATCGATAATAATATCGAATTGAATAAAAACTTATAGTTTATCGATTGACCAACACTTACCAAATGCAGGACGGTGTTGACCACCTCCCGGTTGGTCACCTGACCAACCTCGATGAGGCCGATGAGGACGGCGAACTTGAGATTGTCGGCAGTTGTCATTCTGACAATTTCGTCCGGCCGTTTTATCTCACTATACGGCGGACGCATGATGTCCGCCATTTTGGTGTACGTTTTTTTCAGTGTATTTTTGTTGTTGTTGTTGTTGTTTTTCACAATATATAATTCGCAATAATTGTAAATTTATTTATTTATTTTAACGCGTTTTACATGCGGTTTTCAGTTTTCGTTTTTTTGTTTTATATTTTTAAAGGTTTTTAAATTTTTTGTTGTTGTTTGTTTGTTGTTTTTTTTTGTTTTTTGTTTTATATAGATTGAGTTATAGAATTAATGGATGGAATGCACACGAAAATACACACACACACACAGATACACAAATATATAATACATTTACATATATAGTAGATATATATATGAAGATGGTAATGCTATATATATATATATAAACAATTAAATATTGCCAGGCAATTGGAGGGGAGGAAAAAATTATTATTTCAAATTTTTAATTGATTTTTATTTTTTATTTTTCTTTTTTGGCTGGATTTTTGCTTGTTGCTATTTTGATTTTATTTATGTGTTGTTGTTGTTGCTGCTGCTGCACTTTTCCTTTTCTTGTTGCTGCTGCTGTTGTTGTTGTCGTAGTAGTAGCTGTTGTTGTTGTTGTTGTTGTTGTGGGGCAGCTAAATTGCTGTCGCTGTTGTTATGGCTGCTGCCGCCTTTTTGGCTCATATTGTTGAGCAACTTTCGACGTCGGCACTTGACAAATTTTGCATTATTTTATTTTTTGTTATATAACACTTGGTTATATATATATATATATATTTTGGAATTGCACACTTTTTTTTTGTTAAATATTATTAAATTTATATTTTTTATTGAGGTTTTGGTGATTTTTTGGTGTGGTTGGTGGTTGTGGTGGTGGTGACATATATAAAAAAAAGAGAGAAAGAGAAATAGGTACATGAGTACGAAATGCAATAACTTTAATATTTGATGGGGTACAGTGCGTTTCATTGGCTTAGGTCCTCTCAAATTTGTTAGTTTGTGAGTTTTCTCATTATAAATATTCTATTTTTTATCCTTTATAATTTATTTAACTTATTTAATAAAGAAAAACCCCAACCTAAACCTATGTAACGCACTGTACTTGCTTTTGGTTTTTCCAAAAATTAAAATGAGCGCAGGTACATTAAAAAATGAAATTAAATTCTTATTTTACATTATATAATAGCCAAGCTACAAAGTAAAATATTCGAAATATTCGTTTGATCTGCGCGCGTCATGGGTTAAGGTTTGGTTTTTGGGGGGGGCGTTGGGTTGGGTTGGTGTTATTTCTTAAAGTGGGAGTTTTGGGTGATGTTAGTGGTTTTCCCAAGGATATGAGGGGCAGGGATATTACACGTGCTTGATGGAGCAAATTTTCGTTCCATTATTCATTCGCTTCTTGGCTGCTCACAGAGCAAAGTGGAAAATTGTCTGGGGAATTTATGTGCATTTATAATTTTCGTTTTATTTGTTACGTTTTTTTTTTTCTTCTTCTTCTTTTTGCTTGCATTAACTCCCGGCACGGTGTAGACCCAGATTTATGTAATACCACGTTATTTTTTTTTTTTAGTAGGTATTTATCTTTGAGAAAATCTCAACAGATGATCGTGTTCATTAGCTAATTCTATATATATAAAAAAATAGCCTAGATATAACCTATAGTTTTCTCGGTTCGTCACGCATCGACGATAAGACTGGGGGTTAATGCCCCGACGTTTACTGGAAAATACTATGGGAAAACTGTCGAAGCAACCAAGTTCTAAAACGTTCAGCAAACACCACTGACTGGGGATAGTAAAAAAAAAAAAAAAAAAAAAAAGAACATATATAACGCTGACACACCTGAAGAAGAACAAGGTGTGCTTCTGATTCAGCTGGCGATGGAAAAACCATAAAAGAAACGCAGCTGTGTGCTAAATGGAAAACCTCTTTGGTAAAAGAGGGGTTTACTTTTATTGGAAAAATGTCCAACAAGACGGGTAGCATTTAATTAGGAGAAGGCACTAATTTTCTTATTTTATTAACTGATTTAGTATCTCTTTTTAGTAAAAAACCTCATTTAGTTAGGCTTTAAAAAGCATTTTCTCTTCGAAAATAAAACATTTTTTTTTACTATTTTTAACTTTGATCATTTATATTATTTTTTGGAAAAATAAAGGAAGTGAAGGGATTTTCAGGGTTCTCAATTTTAGGACTCACAAAAATGCAGTTTCAACATTCTTCTACTATATATGTAAGCAAGCTTTTTTTTTTGATTTTATAAAATACTACATTTTATGTTAAAAAACAGTACAAAAACAGTAAAAACAAATAATAATTCGTTAAAAAAAAAAAAGAAATACAACAGAAACAAAAAGGCAAAGAAGAAAAACCGGCGTGGCAAAAAACAGGCAAAGCAGCGTTGACTGGTTTCTTGATATTAACTTTTGTTTTCTTTTCAAATTTTGTTGCTATTACTTTACTTCTTTTTATGTTTAGATAAGGCAGGTGATTATCTGTTTTTTTACTTATTTTTTTATATATATATATTTCATATTGAGGTTTGCTTACGAATCTTTGAATGCGGCCACTTTGCTAATTGCACGTCAACAGAAAAAAAAAAAAAATTATAGAAAAAAAATTCCAATACGGAGAGCGAGTCTCATTGCGTTTCATTTGCTTTGCCTTTTTGGCTCTGAGCTGCTACCACTTTTTGTAGTTGTTTTATTTTTATGGCCAACAGAGAGAGATAGAGTGAGAGAGGGAAGGAGGAGAACCGGTAAGAAACAGAGAAAGAGAGAGAGAAGTTGGTAATTTCGTTACGAAATAAAGATGCAATGCCAGTTGGAAATGAAAGTCACGCGTTCAATCGATCAAAAAGATCTTTGAAATTACCGACTCAACTTCCTCCTTCCTGGCTTAAAAATAAAATGTTTAAATAATTTTAAATTTTAATATTTATAAGAACCTTTTTTGTGTGTTTTTTTGTTGTAAGAAGCAATTGGTATTTATTAACTAATTTCGTTTTCTTTCTTTTTAAGCAATTTATTTCCACATTTTCTAAAAAAATATTCCAACTTCAATATTAAAAAATATTCTAAATTTTAAGGCCATTTTTAAACATTTTAATAAGCTATAAAACTTATATTTAAAAAGTTTCAGAACTTGCTTAAATTAAATATAATTTTTCTATATTTTTTTTTAGAATTTTCCTACACTTTGTAGGGGCCTTCAAATTTCGACTAAAACTAACTAACTTTTTCGTCGTTTTGGCCACGTTCTCTCATTGTTGTTGTTATTGCTGTATTGTCGTTGTTTTTTTTTTTTTATACCCAACTTTTTGTTGGTGGCCGAAAGAGAGAAACAGAATTTGGTTTTGGTGGTGGCTTTTTTTGGGCGAGGAATAGTTAGGGAGGGGGTTCGGCAGGTGGGCGAAGGGGGAAGTGGCAGGCAGTAGCGCATGGAGAGGGGGTAACCCGTTTTTGGTTTTGTATTTGTATTTGCTTCTGTGTTTTTTCCTCTTTTTTTTTTGCAATTGCAGCAGGCGGCCATCTAATTATGAATTGCAGTCACGCCGAGACAAGTTTTTCCTTTGTTTTCCTGCCGCGTTCTCTCTTTCTCTCTCTCTCGTTTGCTTTTCACTCTCTCAGGCTCTCTGCCTCACCGCTTTTCTCACCTTTTCAGTGGGAAAAATCAATGAAACGCGAGAGAGTCGCTCTCTCGCTTACCCCGCCCCCCATGCACTTCCTTCTTCATTTTGCCAGCCACCTTCCTACTCTCTCTTACTCTCTCTCTCTTCCTTACACCAAAAAAACGGACACACGTCGTCAGTTTGTTAACTTATTACACTGAACAAAAAACATGGATGATTGTAAAATGGTTATAAAAATTAAGCTAACAACATGATTAGACTGCATGATTTTATTAGAAAAACCTTATTTAAAAGCTACACTCTATGAACTTTACATTTATTACGTGGCATATCTAAGAGCTAATATAGAACTACTTCTTATTATCTTTCAGTGTAGTTTCTACCACACACACACATATTTATCAACTCCCGCGCGCTCTCTCTCTCTCTCTCTCGTACTTGGCTCTCTCGCAACGTTGCGGCTTTTTCTGCTTCTTGCCACTGCTACGTATTTTTTTATCTTATTATTTTGCACCGCTTTGTTGGATTTTGTCATTTCCAATAAGCAAACACAGCGACACCAAAATGCTAATTGGCCCAACTAACTACACAGTTAAGTCCAACAAAACTAAACTATAAAAAAAAAACCTTAAAAAAAATATTCAAAAAGATCACAAAAACACAACACAAAAAAAAAATGAGTAAAACGTAACGTAATAAAGAGAGCGTAAAACTTCATATTTACGTTGTTTTTTAGCCGCTTGCCGTTGTTTTAAGACTGTTTACTGTTGTTGTTTATGTTTTGTTGTTGGTGATGTTGTTTCTGTTACCATTATTATTATTATTATTATTATTATTATTGTTGTTGTCTTCGCACAAACACAGTAAAAAAAAGTGGCAAAAAAAGAAATGAGTAAAAAAAGACGCGGCGGGAGGCAAAAAAGAATTGATTCATAAATTCAAAAACGCAACGTTCACGTAACAACAATATACAACCATTTCTTCTATTTGACGTTGTGTTGTTGTCCGTAAAATGATTTTAATTGAAATTATTTCACCACCGCATTTTATAGCTTTTTAACTAATTTTTTTTTAGTTTAATTTACGATTTTGATCAGCGTTTTTATTTTTTGGCTGCTTTTTTTTTTGATTCTGTTTTCTCGTTTCAGTTCTCTGTTTTTCGGTTTCTCGTGCTTAACCGCCGTGCGTTTCCTCCGCTTGTTCTTTCCGCGCGCGCTGCGAAAAACAGAGTGAATTTTGGTTTTTGCTTTGCGTTCGCGGCACGTAAAAGAGAACTAAGTTTGTTGATTGGTCTCGTAATTGTTAGAGAGAGACGAGGGAAAAGAGCGAGAGCAACCACGAATTGGGGGAGATTCTCTCTTTCTCTGTGGGGAGTAGCATTTTGGAATCCAGGAACTCCAAAAATGTTAAGGCCAATCGGTTAAAACGGTTAACATTCTGTTAAGCAAAGTATATATATTATTTTCATTTACATTAAATAAGTATATTATTTAATAACAAAGAAATTACTATTTTATGTTTAAAAGATAGCAATTAAAGAGCTTTATTTATAATTTTTATTAAGAAAATAAAAACATTTTCAACCACAAGCATTAGTTTTAAGATTTGTAAAATGATGACTCAAAAACTGCACCAGAATTTTCTGTGACTAATTCTCCAATGAGTAGAATTATACGATTTTTATATTTTTAGTTAGTTCATTTTATTTATTTTTAGTTTTCAAGGTGACGCAAAACTTAAAAAAAAAACAAATTTAAAAGCTTTTAACTTTAGCAATTTAAATCTTATTTTAAAGTTTCTAAGCGTTTCTTTTCAAACCTTTTAATATTGTCCCCTAGAATATAAATATATATATACCCTAGTTTATAGTTCATGTAAACCTCCAAAAATTAAGTGTTTTTGAAAACCGGAATGTTAACCCTGATAGAGATTTCATCAAGAGAGAGGCTTTCTCCTAATCTCTTTCCAAATCAGCTGATAGAAGGGAAATTTTGAGTTGAAATCGACACGGCGCGTGTATTACAGTTATTTAAAATCTTTAAACTGTTAGAAATATTATGAAAAAATGTAATAAATATTTATAAATTCATAAATTATACTTGCGTTATATAATAAGTCACTAGTTTATACTATTCATTGATTTTATCGTAATTTAAAACTAAAACATAAACTGAAAAATCGAGTTTGTGCTGTGAGTTCTTTGTTTTAAATTTAATATGACCATTTGAAAAACCGAAATATTTTGAATTTCCTGTGATTAAACAATTACAACAAACTGTATATAAAATGAACTATATATTTATACATTTTTTATATATTTTTAGTACTTTTACTTCATTTATATAGCAGTTATCAAACCAAGTAAAACTAATTTAGATTCTTTTCCAACTTCATAAATTATAACAATGTCTTTACAATAATTGTTTAAAATTCAAGATGTATTGGCGCAAATTTTTAAATTTTTACAACTGAAAAACGTCCTCTACGGCAAGAAACAAGTAACGACATAAAATATTGCTAGCAAGGACTCAAACCAAGAATTGATTATTTTCGCAAAGAATCCTTTTCAATATTTATACCATCCTGTGGTTGCTACTGAAAATACAGAAAAACGTGACCAGGCTTGAAAGAAGTGTTTTAAAATTATTTTAGTATTTTTCTTCTTTAAATTTTTTAGAGTGATAAAATAAAGAAACCTCACTTTATCTAATGCTATTCTTTAAGAATATAATTTCAAATCTATATTCTGTTTTTTTTTTATGTTAAACAGTAAATAAGAATGAAACTTATTAATTAGCGATAGTGATAGACGATATATGAATAAACAATCGATAGAGACTATCGAATAGCCCACCAACGATAGTTCTATCCGTAGCTCCATCTCCAACCGTCAGGCTTTGGTCACATTACCAACCTTTAAGTTTAGTTTCATAAAAAAAAAAACAAAACAAAAAGGCGATAAAACGCAATTAAAGTAACATTAAAAACCCAAATAAAAGGGAACCAGTGATAAACTAAATCAATTGCATTGCACACACACTAGCAAACAAATGAAAATGTGATGTTAAGTGTGAGTAAAAACCGATGAAAAATCCAAAGGAGTGTGCGTGTCGAGTATATGTGTGTGTGAGTGCGCGTGAAGTGCGAATATTGTGTGAAGAAAGAGGACGAAAGAGCGGTGCCAGTTAAAAAATATAAACAATTAAAAGATATATATATATTTATATGTATGGGTGCTTCAATAGTTGAGAAAGGGGAAAGGAAAAGCAAAGAACTAGTTCTCGATTCGGATTATGTGTGTGATTGTGTGGGAGAGGATTCCAGCTGCCTTTGTGTGCATTTTTTTGTATTTTTATTTTATATTATTTTATTGTGCGGATATTTTAACCCTTGTTAGCCCTTTTTTCGTAAATGTGTGTTGTGTGTGTGTGTGTTTTCAACCCCCAAAAATATGTTCACCACCCTCCGCCCGCCGCCCGGCGAAAAATCACTGAGCAATAAACCACCCACCACCCCACCCCCAACAAAAAAACGAAACGAATTATTTCCCACTGAAAATTTTCTTCTTCCAAGGTGATGATGTTTTCTTCTGCCCCATCTTCCTCATCTTCATTCCAGGAACAGCGGACGAAAAAAGGGAGAACAAGAGAGAGAGAGAGAGAGCAATTCAAAAACTGTCGAAATAAAACGGCTTCTCCACCTCTAGCTACCTCCCTTTAGCCCCACCCCCCGCTGTGAGCTCCATCAGACAGTGGGAAATTAGGGATAAATGTCTGAGCAAAATAATTTAATTTCGCTCTGTAAAATATGTTAAATTCAAATCACTTGCGAAATTCAATTTAAATATGTTAAAAATTTTTACGAAAAGCCATTTTTTTTTTATTAATGAAAGGGTTTTTAGAAGTTGTTATTGTTTATTAGGATAGGTTTTGTAGCCCACTGTGCATCGCATGACGCTCAACCACTGAGGCTAGCACCCTCTCTGTCGCTCTGTCGCCATTCGACTATGTATATGCTATCCTTCTTGCTCACGCCGCCTGCCTTTCGGTTTGTTTCTTTTGTGCCTATTTCCGCTTGTTAGGTCAGCTTTCCCCCTTCTCCATCACCATCCCCTTTTTGTGCTCCCTTTTTGGGCTCCAAGTTCTGGCAGTCCTTTAGGAACTATGACAGCCAAAATAATAGGGTATGGAAAGAAAAATCAAAACATTTTCCGTATTCACTATAAATAAGGACACATAATATATTTATTTAAAATTTTAAGAAAAATACGGATTGTAATTTTCATTCAAAGATACATGTATTTAATTATTTTGTGATATTGTTTTCATAAATTAGTTTGAACTATTTCGTTAACCGCTGCTGTATATTATTGTTTTGTCCTCCGTGTGCGAGAGTAAAGTTGTGTGTCAGTTTGCGTGTGTGAGTGGGTGTAAGCAAGGGTAAGAAAGGAAAAGAAAAGGCAAAAAGGAGTAGGACAATAACTAAATTGGATGGGGGCATTAAGAAAAGGGAATAAAAGTAAGGTTGTTTTGTGTGTGACCCAACCAAAACCCAATTAACTTTTGAATATTGCGCAAATTTGCGCGCCTATCGTCCGTTAACCAACACTGCCCGCTGAATGCAACCCTGCTCAAACACAAACATAAAAGTACACACACACACAGAAGCGCAGTGAGACCCAGGGAGGCAAAAAAATTCACACACAAGCAAATATTTTTTTGTTATTATTGAACAGTGAAGAACAGCGCAACAAAAAAACGAGCTTACGAATGTGAAAAGCAAAGCGGGTGTGTGGAAAACGGCAACAACAAAAGCCAAAGGGAAAGCCAAAAGAAAATCACTCGCGGGGGAGCAAATTCGGCAGAGAAACACGAACAAGAATCAGAGAAGGAGAATAAGAAGAAGAAGAAGCGCAGCCGCTAATTGTCGCGTCGTTCGTTGTTGTTGCTGCCTTGCGAAAAAAAAAATGAAAACCAAAAAGAAAATTGCACAAAAATAAAGCAAATTAATAAAATGAAACGAATAAAATGATTAACATGTTAAAGAACAGCAGGAAACTTAAGAAACGAACGAGAAACAGCGGCGAAAGGAAAAAGCAAAAAGGAGAACAACCGAAAAGGTCAAAAATGTGAGCGAAAGAGAGAGACTTCCCCAAAAAAAAAAACCGAAAGAAAAATGGAGCAAAAGTGAAAAACCTGTGTGTGTGTGTGTGTGAGTTTGTGTGGGGGGAAAAGCTAAAATTAATTTTTTGTTTTTATTTCCAAGGCGCGCGCGTACTTGTGTGTGTGCGTGTGTGGGTGGAAAATACGATTTCGTAAAACGCATTTCATTGTTAACAAAACGTGTGTTAATTTACCTAAACTTTTCTTTACCTTTTACAGTTAGTAATCAAAAATTGCACAAAATGCGAGAAGAGATGAGAGCAAATCAATAGTAACAATAACAGAAAGAAAAGGAGCAAAGGAGAGGAGCAAAAGTAACGGCAACTACATAGGTGTGTGTGCGTGTGAGACAAACGAAAAAAAAAACACACAACTTTTTTTTTTTTCTCAAATAAAAATGTGGAAATCAAGCAAGGAAACAACAAAAGCTAAAAGAACAACAACAATAAAAACGCCAGCCAGGAGCAGCGCAGTTCGCAACGACTGCGAAGTCAGCGTCGCCGCATGGAAAGCACAAAAAACCGCATGACAAGGAAATGGAAAATTTTTGTGCAGCCAAAAAAACCAAATGTGAACATAAAAGAAAGGCAAAAAGCGAGGCGTTGAGCGAAAGAAAAACAAAACAAAACATCAAAAAAACGTGTGTGCTTGTGTTTTCCAATATAAAATAATAATAAAAATAATAATAACAGCAAGACGAAAAAGCGGCTTACAAGAAAAAAAATATTGAAAGCGGATAAAGAAGAAATCATAACTAAAGAAGGAGCAGAGCAAAAACGAATTAACTGAAGAAGAAGAAGAAGAAGCAAAAACCTGGAAAATATACAACAACAAATTGATTACTAAAAGGCAGCTTTAAAACCAGAAATATTAACAAAAGAAGAAAAAATACAGCCGCCTAAAAAGCAGATTTTTAAATAGGAGAGTTGTAGAAATCTTCGAAAAATAATAAATGTAAGTTGGCTTTGAAATAGGTTTGTAATATTATAAAACAAGAACGTTTCTTACTTTTTGTTTCTCAATATTGTGAAATTTTGGTATAAAGATAAAATAAAATATCTCAATTATATTGGAAATACATTTTAAAGATGTAACTATGAAGAAAAGTTAGAAGTCAAAAGATAAACCCTCTTTAAAAGCTTAAAAAAGCGAAGATGTTTTTTTTTTTATATATTGGCAGAAATTCCCTTAAAACACATTAAACTTATGTTTAAATTATATTTACAGATAACTAAATATAAAACATAGCTGAAGGAGACGCCAAAAAGCAGCCACCGCATCCTGAGCAGCTCAAAGCAAGGAAGTAAGTTAAAGAAAAGTTATGATTATAAATGACGATTATACTTATCGTTTTCCTATTTGTTTTGCAGATATAAATCGGTTAAAATATATATATAAAAGAATATATCGCTGCCATGGCCAGCAGCGCAACAAACGTCGACGGCGGCAGCGGGACGTCGGCGGCGCTGCCATCGCTCTTCCCCGCCGTCGGCGCCGTTGCCGGCGTCAAGGATATGGATGGACTGATGGCCATTAACGATAGCGCCCTATCGCAACAGATCGAATTTATACTGCAGGATGCTCCCATGGAGCAGGACGACGATCCTCACCAGCATTCGCATGTGCATCACCATCATCAGCACTCGTCCCATTCGCATACGCACTCGCATCATACACACTCGCATTCGCATCAGCAACACCATCATCCGCATCATCATCTAAAGCTGGACAACAACAGCAGCAGCAGCAGCAGTAGCAACAACCACCCACCGACAGCAGCAGCAGCAGCAGCAATTGTGACTGTAACAACAGCAGCAACATCAACCAACAACAGTGCTTCCTTCAGCAGCAGCAGCAGCAATAATAGCAGCAACACCAACAGCAATCACCTGGACAACCAGCAACAGTTGCTCATTCAGCAGCAACAACAGCAGCAACATCACCTTTTAAACGGTCGCCGCATTATTATCCAGGCTACGGGTAATTCAACTGTTTTGGCCGCCAGCGATATAAAGGAGGAGGATGAAGAGGAGGAGGATCCGGAGTTAAATGATGAGAATCTGCAGGATATCGAAGAGGAGGCTCAGGCAGCCGAAGCGGATGAGGAACCCGAAAGTACCACGCAGCATTTGTCCACTCAGGTTAAGCTGGAGCTGGAAGAGGATGAGGAAATGCCTGATGAGGAGGAAGAAGAGGATGAGGATGATGATGACGATCAGCAGCATGGACAATTGGAGTACCAAATTGGTTCGTCTGCGCAAACGGGCGGAGGGACAAGTAATGCCGGTGGCGGTGCCGCAACAGCCGGTGGTGGATCACAGCAATTGGTTCAATTGCCTGCCGGGAGTATTGTGAGCACCACGACCCACCGATTGTCCGTACCAGTGACCGATGCTGCTCTTGTCCAGCTGCAACGTCGACCTGTTTACATTAGCAATGCTGTTGGTGGCCTAACAGCTGGCACAACCTATGTGAGAATGCCAGCGGCGGCGGTTATCAGTCGAAGTCCCATGACGGTGCTGAATGTGGTGCAACAGGCGTTGCCGGCTACTCAGTTGATATTGCAAACGCAACCGCAGCAACAACAACAGCAGCAGCAACAACAACCACAACAACAACAACAACAGACACCGACGGCGACGGCAGATCTGCAATTGGCCTTGGCCTTGGAGCAGCAAAGGCAACAGCAAGAGCAGCAGGCTCAGCAGCAAAGGCAGCAACAGCAAGAACAGCAACGCCAACAACAGCAGCAGCAACAGGCGGCGCAACAAGAACAGCAGAGGCAGCAACAGCAGCAGCAGGCGCAGCAGCAGCAGCAGCAACAACAGCAGGCGCAGCAGCAGCAACAACAACAGCAATCCCATCCAGTAAAGCATTCAGCATCCAGCTCTTCCTCCAGCAGCAACAGCAACACCACAAACTCCACCAATAGCAACAATAACCCTCCGGCGGCGACTGTTACCACCAGTTATCAGTGCGTCGAATGTGTGGAAAAGTTTGATTCCAAGGAACTCTTCGATATCCATCGCAGTGGCCATGCCAACAACATGAAGTGCGCCATCTGCAATATGGTTTTGAAGTCCCTAAAGAACTATGAAAAACACTGCCTGCGTTGCAAGCCGTACGAGTGTCAAATTTGCGGTCGAGTCGTCCGTTTTCGCCCGAATTTTATCAAGCACATGCGAGTGCATACGGGTCAGCAGTCGGAGCGGCACAAATACAAATGTGAGGTGTGCCACAAGGAGTTCATGAGCTTTGAGTACTTTAAGGTGCACAAGAAGATCCACAACGAGAATGTCAACTTGACCTGTGAGATCTGCGGCAAGGTCTTCAGTGCTCTGGCCTCGCTGCGAGGTCATTCCAAGTTGCATTCGGGTGTCAAACTGCACAAGTAAGTATCTTTAAGGTTTAAATATTTATATATATGACTAAATTTGTTTAGATTTTCGCTATTTATAACGTATATTTTATGTGTTAGAAAGTTAACTATATTATTTCCTTACTTTTTCAGATGCGATGTATGTGGCAAGGGCTTCGGACAGCGCTACAATTTGAAGATTCACGCCAGAACGCACACGGGTGACTTTCCCTTCGAGTGCAAAATTTGCAAGAAGAAGTTGCACACGCAATCGTCGTTGCAAACTCACATGCAGGTCCATTTGAGGGATCAACCTGGCGGTGCTGCTGCAGCGGGTGCTGCTGGAGCAACCTCCTCGAAGGCCAGCAATAGCAGCAATTCAAGCAACAGCAGCAACTCCAGTAGTAGCAATTCGAGTAGCAACAGTGGAACGGCAGCGGCGGCGGCTGCAACAACGACAACGATTGTTAAGCTGGAGCCGCCCCACGAGATGGAAAGGCCCGGCACCAGTAGCAATCAGCAGCTGCAGCAGCAAGCCCACCAGCACCAAATGGAACTGGATGAACAGTCGGGACTGAGCGGAGATGAGGAGGATGGCAGCGGCGGCGGTATGAACTCCTCCTCGCACATTGTGAACGCAACCACCAATCGCTTGACCACCGGCGAGGACTCATCGGAGTCCTCGAATGCCTCGCTACACCTGAACCAGCACTCCTCCACCTCATCCTCGCCAGCCTCGCAGCACCAAATGTCTCATTTGCAGCAGGTGCAACAGTCGCAGCAACAACAGCCGCAATATCTCGTTTCGGCCCCAACACGAACGATTGTCATTAAGAATTATATGCAGCAGGGATCCCAGCAGCAACAGACCTCCGATCCAACGCCCGTGCTGCATGCACAGGTCATCCAGAGCGGTGCAGGCACCAGCAACGGCAACGGCAACACCTCCTCCAACAATAGCAACAGTAGTAGCAACATTATTACCAGCAATCTTAGCAATGGCTCGCAATTGATACGAAAGACGCCAATCATTCATCATTCAACGGGAAGCAACAATGGTAGCGGCGGCTCAGCGCTGACAAGTGTGGTCCAGCAGACAGGTGGTGAGTGGTTTTAGATTTAAAGTCTAATCGGGGGGTCTAAAAAAGTTTCTTTGATATATATGCTAGATAGAATATAGTCTTTTTACTTATATGGAAATCTTGTTAATCTTGCAGTTATTTCGCCTGCTCAATCGCCATCGTCATCCTCGACCTCTTGCTCCTCATCAACGGTGCTGGTATCCAAGGCCACCGGTGTGCCATTATCTATAGCTTCCTCGGCGGCGGCTGCTCTCGGTGGTTCTACGATTATACGCAGCACAAGGAACCACCAACAGCAGCAGCAACAACAAGCCCAACAACAACAGCAGCAGCGAGTGACGCAGCGCAACAACCACCGAAATCACCACCGACGTCGTCATTTGGCTGATATGGATGACGATGAAGACGAGGACGAAGATCAACAGCTGTTACAGCAGACGCAAACACAAGCCCCACAACAGCATCACCATCATCATCATCATCATCACAACCATCACCACAATCATCATTTCGATGACGATGATGACGATGAGAAATCTTCACCGTCCTTGGCCACAGCTGCCATTATTAAAGTGGAACCAAATCTATATTCCTCCGGCTCCGGCGACAATTCCAACGATATGTTCATCAAAGAGGAAGTTATGTTTGAGGACTCAGCTGCCCTGCATTCCCCACAATCGCCGCCAAGTTCAAAATTCCGTATATCGAACTTTGATAGTGATTTGGTTGATCATCATGTTGATTTAAATCATTCGCTACCGCCGTATGGTAATCTATTTGAACCACATTCGATACCGGATAGCATACCGGTTCAGCTATATCCGGATGATGATGATGATTTCCGGCTGGATCATAGTTCGTTGGGTGCACTGCACAATACAACATCATCGTCGACCACCGATGGAGACTTCATCAAGAAGGAATGGGTCTACGGCACGGGCACTAGTTCCTATGCCATGAACGGCAAATTCGATGACGATAGCGATGCCCTCTGCGATGCGGCCAATTTTATTTACAATTGAGTGCAGGCAGCCGCTGCCATTGTGGTGGATAATCAGCATAATCATAATCGTCGTCGTCATCATTGTCATTGGAAACGGAAGAGAAGTCCGCGTGGTCGGGTGAAGCAAGTGGTGGTGGTAGAGGAGGAGGATGAGAAGCAGCTACATTGCGATGAGGAAGAGCCAGATGTGGAGGAGGAAGAGGAAAAGGAACTGGAACAGGATCAGCAGCAACGCTATGTCCTGCGACGCGTTCACGATGCAGCCATGTGGAGCTGAAGATTCGGTTAACCCAGATTCATAGCTATACCACGTATATATATATTACATATATGTCCCCCCACATCTACCACACACACACACACCACAAACACACACACATGAAAAACACACAACCAAGAGGGCGAATCGAGTTGCGTGCAATTTGAGTGCAAAAAATGCAAATATTTTATGAAGAATTCTAACTAGTTTCGCTGTAAAAACTTTAGTACTAATAACTTTTTTGAGCTGCTCGAAAAAAAAAAAAGGTTTTAATAATAGGAAAAAATCCTAAATTAATGCAAAAGAGAAGGCATTAAGGAAAATATTTAAAGCGGGCAACAAACATTTGAATGTGTAATAGCAACCTGATTTCAAACCAATTTACGCTTTAAAAACTTTAGATTTTATATGACTATATAGTTTTGATTGATTTATCAGCTGGTTTTAAAATATCTGGTATAATTCAAAAGAAACAAAAACAAATTGTAATTAGTTCTTTTTTTTTTTTTGTAACCCAGTTAATGACTTTCGCCAATTTGATTGTATAAAATTTTAGATCTAAGATTGAATTTTGACTTACCCAAAAAAAAAAAAAGGAAAGTGAAAATTGGGTATAATATTTTTGAATAAGAAATATTAGTTTTAGCTTGAAAACCAACCAATATTAGTACTAAAGTTTCCAAGACCAAATTATTTAGAATTTTCCATAATAGACGACGTCTTCTTCCTTATTGTACTATTAACTTTTTTTTATGCTACGCAACGAGTCACCCTTTTAAACACACACACACACACATTTATATATATATATATATATATATATACGTATATATATTATTGCTAATATATATATATATTATAGAACACATACTTATCCTATATGTCCACCATATAGATAATTTGCTATCTCTGTTGCGCTCGTGATGATCTTATAACGTGATCTTAAAACTAAATCTAAATCAATGTGTAAAATTTTGTTTGTGAAATTTATGATTTTATTTTTATCCCGCTTCTGTTCCAATCTTTCTCCCAGTGTGTAAGTTGTTTTCCATATCCCCCCATCACCCACCCCCATACACCCCAATTTTCTGTTCGTTGTAGTTCTTTATCCTTCGCTCTCTCACTCTGTGTGTCTCTGTCTCTGTTGCTCTCGTGTCTTTCTTAATATCTATCTTCCCGTCTCACTCTGATCTGATATACAATTTTCGTCTCCCAAAAATTTTAGTGTAAAAAAAAGAAAAGAAAAATGCAAAAAATCTCAAATGAACTTGTAACTTGATGTGAAACACGAATTGTTTATTTTAAGTTTTTATTTTTACATATCATTTATCTATCTCCTATATATATATATATATATGTATATATATATATATATATATTTATAATATTATATACAAAAATCTCTGTTTTAAACTTTCCGTATGGCTCAGCACATTGTATTATCTATTGCTAATCCTAATTTTAGTTGTTTAGTTTTACATTTGATCTCTCGGCTTTAGTTTTTGCATATTCAAAACGAAAGAAAATTCAGTTCCTGTGTAATGACAAAGATAACTTGAGAAATTGTATTATAATTTAATGGACTGTAGTCGATCAATGTGCTGTTTTTATATGGAAAGATATATATATATGTATGTATACCAACCATATCTCTCTGTCAATCGAGGATCCTACAGTATTGGCTCCAAAAAAAAAAGAAAAAAACAAAAAAAGAAAAAAACAGAAACCAAATCAAAAAAGGAAAGAATATAAGTGAAAACAGCTTTAATTTTGCTTATCGCTTTTTTATTTTGATTAACATTTTGTTTTCACTTACCTAAAGCGCAGTATTTGTTTCATATTAATTCGAGAATCCACACACACACATATAGTTAGTTTATAAAGTGATAAGGGTATTTTTTTGAGTTGAAGATATATATATATATTTTTTTTTTAATTAGCAGCTCCAATGTGCAATCTCCCCCTATCCATCACTGAACTTCGACCTCTCTTTCTATCTATCTATTTACCTATCACCTTCGCTCGAACACCTTGTGGTTTCCTTAATTAGTTGCTAAGTAACCAAGATAAACACACACACACACAAAAAACAACCATATACGATGTATGATTATGATTTGCATTACTATATATATATATATATATATATAGATAATCTGTAGCTTAGTGTAAGCCTGATTTCTGTGTAGTCTTTAAGCTGGAAGAGCATGCTTTAGCTTTAGCTTTACCCTAACATACGAAACTGCATAAGCATACGAATATATAATATATATATAACTATATATATAGCCGCTGTACAATTACTTGATCTTTAGCATTAACTTTTGAAAACTTTTCATTTGCATTTACATCGACAATTGTTTGTGTATTCTTTTCGTTTATTTTATCGAAAATTAAAACAACTATATATATATAGACATATATATAGCCATTAAATATATATGGTTGGGGAATCGGATACAATAAGGGAGGAGAAAACAAAAAAAAAAAAAAAAAAAAGAAGAAAAAGAAAAAAGAATCCACATAACAAGAAACTTCTATCAAAAGCATTTAATGTTAACAACATAATGAATAAAACAACAAATCTATATAAATTAATTCAATTATAAATGTATAACAAACAAGTTAGCCAACAATTGTAAAACGTAGCTGAAAGAGTTCATCACTTTTTTTTTTTCTATGTGTAGCATGGAAGGAAAAGTTTATACATATATATATATACATATATATATATATATATATTTAATCGATTTTACGTTGTTTTGAGACAGTTTTGATTTAGCTTTTTTGTGCTTAATATTAATATAATTGTTGTTGCTTGCCATTTTGTTTGTTACTAAAAGAAAATAATTATATAACAAGAGCCGTTAATCATAAAAGAACACAAACACACACACACACACAAAAGAAACACTCACACACACATAGACACATGGAAAAGCTCAAAGGATAAACGCGCAAAGAGAAAATGTTTTTGTTTTCCAAATAACAAAAGAAAAAAAAAAAAGAAAAATACGCATTATTTACGGATTTGTCTTCCGCACGAGTTAAAAGTTCGATTTGAACGATGTACAAATTTCCAGTTGATTAGATCGATAACGATAATTATGAGATCGATAAATATAGTTGATGAATTCGATAACCAGTTGATCTTTGGCCCGCTCCTATCCCTTTTTCCGTACACTTTTCGGTCAAAACCCGATTTTTAGCCAGCAATTATAAGAAGAAGAAAAGTTAAAATTTCAATTTGAGCGATGTACAAATTTTCAGTTGATTAAATCGATAACTAATTGATGATTTCGATAGATTTTCACACCTATTTTCCGTTCCTTTTCTTTTCCATTTGGGAAAATTTCCCCAAAATTTTTAGGAAGCAATACAAACGAGACAAACAGGTGGGAAAAACCACGCGGAAAACTTCTCGGAAAAACTCATCGTTCACTGCCCCACAAGCCTTTTCTCACGCCCCCTTCCTCCACTCACCTGTTCACCACACATTGAGAGCAATCAAGTCAATATACGAAAAGCTCACCCGAAAGTCATAGTTCAGTTACACCGAAAAGAAAATCGAGGAAAAATGCTAATTTTTGTACATTTGCAGAAAGAGAGGGGGAAAAAAAGAAATATGGAAATATTGTAAGATTTAATGAACCCAGAAAACCAAACTCCAAAATATACTATTTTATATACCAAATAACAAAAGGATAAAAAAACGATGATTAACAAGAAAAACCCAACAACTTTGCACCACAACAACAACAAAAACAAGAACAAGAACAACAACCAACTAAATTTTTAAAAATTTAATCTCAACGACTGCGCACACAACAACAAACAAATTTTTTGTATTATATTAAAACAAAAAAAAACAAACAAAGAAAAAAAAATGGAAAAAAAACAACAAAAAAAAACGTAACTTTAAATAAGATCGATGAGGAAAACGGGTGAAGCGAAAGATAGAAGAAAGCAAAGTGAAATATTTTTTTAAGTGTAAACCAGGCCGGTCAAAAGGCTTGGACGCCAAATTTTCTGCAATAAAAAATATTTAATAAACTAATATTGTAAACTTTATAGTGTACACACACACACACACACACACACACACACACACACACACACACACTGAGGAAAACACCTTAAATTAAGATCGAATGCGAATATATTAAAAATTGTGAAGCCAAGAACAGTCCAATTAAGAAACATATTCACACAAGTTATTATTTTTATCTAATTTAATATATATTTTTTTTTTTAACATAAAAGTACCTAAAAATCAAATAATTGAGAAAAGAAAATTTAAAAAAAAAATAAGTATATTAAACTAATTTCTATATGTCTCCCCTGTGTGTAACTTTGCAAAGTCTAAATTTATGAAAAAAAAAAAGTTAAAAATTAAAACCAACACATAATCATTATTAACACGAGTAAAAAACGGAAACAAATTAAAATTACAACATGAAATTGTAACTAAGCAAAAGTATAATTATTTTTAAAGGGAAATCAATTTGTTATGCACAAGAAAATATATACATATATATGTATATATATATGCAGAAAAGCCAACTTTTAAGTTACGAATTTGTTAATGGATCTAAGAGAGAGAGAGAGAGGAGTAGAAGAAAACCCGACTTTTTAAAGCATTTTCGAGGAATATTGAGAAAAAGAAAAAACAAAACAAAACAAAACAAAAAAACCGAACAATTTCAATCTGAACAACATAAAGCCCACGAAAGTATATATATTATATATAAAATAAAAATAAATAAATATATATATTTAAATAAATTATCTATAAACAGAAACGGTAAAGTAAATTAAACAAATCGTATTTATACACTATGAATGTCTAGTCGTATTTTCAGTATTATGTAAACCGCCCCTCCCTTTTCCCTTTGCCCCCAAGAAAAACAAAAACCAACAACAACAACAGAAAACAAAACATAAAAAAATATTTAAAAAAAAACTATAGAAAGCTAAGCTAAATGAATGTGAAATGAAAATGGGGAAAAAAAAACAGAAAACAAATTTTTGAAAATGCAAAACTAAAGGCAGAAAAATATAAACCAGAAATTATGTGTGTAGCGTGTACAATAAAACAGAATTAACAAAAACAAGAAAAAGAAAAAACAAAACAAAAATATGGTAAACAATTTTTAGAAGCATTTTTAACACATATGGGAAAAAACCAAACTTAATGTTTATATAACGATGATGAAGTGCAAGCGCAAAATTAAACGAAATGTGTCTGTTTTTAGTGTTAGAATCGATGTAAGAAAAAATCACAATAAAAAATATATAAAAAAAAAAAGAACATAACAAGAAATCATATATATTAAAAATCATCTAACTAAATCAATTTGTGTAAACGACGAACGGAAGAGATTTTTAAAGGGAAAACTGTGTTTATATAAAAAAAAAAAAATAAAAATCCATTCTTGTTCTGTTTTTTTCTTCAGTGCACTGACATAAATTGCCCAACAAGTTTTCAAAGATTTTCATCAAAATCTTAAGTTAAAGAACTGCTAACTAAAATTATAAAATTCTTGGATTCAAATGGGATTTATGTTAGAAGCGCCTTGTATGTATTTTGAATATATCTATATATATATATATTTTTTTATTACTCTTAGTTTTTGTGTATAAAAAAAAAAAATACAAATGAAATATTATAAAAACAAAACAAACAAAAAAACAAAAACATCAACAACAATTATGTTTAAATTGATTTAATCTTAGTGCATAATTTAATTAACCATTATAATTTCTCATTTAAATAGTTAAACATTTAATGGATCTTTATTTCATAATTTAACATAACACAACAAAAACAGAAAAATGAAAATATATATTTTTTGTCCGAGTAAAATTCGTTGTTTTGATTTATTTAATATTTTTTTTCTTCTACATTATTCCCAGACGGAGTGGTTCATATCAGATATAAACTATACAATTATTTGTATAAATATCTATATGCGTAAATAAATGTAAAGAGAGACAGTGAGAGAAAGTGAGCGAGAATTGTGTGAAGCAAAGAAATGGAAATTAAAATATTTAACAAAAAAAAAAAAGAACAACAAAAACAAAATATATTACAAATTGGCGCAATTTGCTCAACATATTAAGAAAAGAAAATACATCTTACAAAAACATAAAACACATTTCAAAGCAAGTTACTTTCTCTGTTTTTAACGTTTTTCATTTTCTTTAATTAATAGTGGAAATTTTAAGGAATTTAGTTTAACTAATAAAAATGAAAAACGAAGTAGCCGCGAAGCAAAGCCATTAAAAACAAAAAACTACTCGAAGAAAATTAAATAAAGAGCAACAACAAACACACATATATTCAAATTCATGATAATAAAATAAAAAGAGTAATAACAGAGAAATAATTAAAAACACGAAAAATATGAAAACGCATAAAGCCGAAAAGAAACCAAAAACAATCTAGATTTTATTGTAATTCCGTGTCTGTGTGTATTTCAGTAATTAATGTAAAAAAAAAAAAAACATATAAAAACCCAAAATAAACAAAAAAAAACACAAAAATCTAACAATAAAATCAACAAGATCAATATGAAAAATGGAACCACAATCCGAACAAAAAAATTGTAAAAAACCAAAATAAAAACCTTTGAAAAAAAAAAAAAACACTGAACATAAAAAATGAAGGACAAAACATAAAGAAACTAGCGAAATAAATAAAATAAAAAATATTTGAAAAAAAAACATCAGTTCTTTGGATTTTTTTAAGAATAAAAACTTTAGTTTCCATTTCAAAAAACAGTTTTTTTAAGTCTTACATAATACTTACCCAAACCCAATTACCAAATCATTAAGGCATATTTTTTATTTTGTCATATTTAATATTTATTAATTAATTCGCTTCTCATAATCTTTATATATAGTATACATAATTGATAGTTTAAAAAAAAACTCTTTCATTTATCAACTAAACAAATTTACCTTCTTTTTTCCAATTTCGTTCTATATATATTAAATATATTCTCTTTTGTTGAAATTTTGTTTTTTCTTGTTTCGTTTCATACAAAATTCGTTTAAAAATAATGGTGATAAAAAAAATTTGGAATTTTTTCTTGGAAGTCTAAGATTTTAGTTTAATCAAATTTTTCACTTCCGTCTTCATTTTCCGAGTTCAAATTTTGCCTAAACTAACTAACTAAATTTAAGTAAATATTTAGGTGTGTGTGTGTGTGTGCTGAACTGATATTTATATATATATATATTTATGTGTGTGTGTGTGTGTTTGTGTAATTATGTGTGAGTGAAAGTTTTCTAGTTAAAACTAATTTTAGTGAGGGAGAATATTAAAAAATGGACTTTTCCTTTGCCAAGTTTCGATTTGCTCCCTCGTTTATTCTTCTTTTTCTTCTTCTTCATCATAATGGGGGGCTGTACAGCGGGCGGTGGGCATGGCGCCGCAATGCACAGCCCCCAATACATAAATCTTAAAGTATAATCCTTAAATCCGATTTGTTTTTCATCCTTATATTCCATTTAAAACCAACACCAAGCGATTGCACAAAAAACCCGTTGTTGCTTACAACAAATTAAAAGAAAAAAAAAGCGTTAAGCTAAAAAAAACAGTAATAATAATGCAGTTTAATGTTACGAAATCATGGAAATCATTGTTTCCTCTCCAATCGTAAACAAATTCAAACTCAAATTCGAATCCAGATTCAAAGCATAATTCTAACTTATACATATGAATTTTAGGTCTTAAAATATATATATATATATATATCATCGGATATATGTATGTTTACATAAAATATGTTTTTGTTTTTAGTGTTTTTGTTCAGTTAAGATCAGTACAATTGGTGGTATTGCTTAAAATCTACGATTAATATATATTCATAGAATCATTTTATACGCAATTCGATTCGATTTTTCCATATAAAGTTTGATTTTGTTGGGCTATGACTTCATTTATGAACAACTTTAGTTTAAGCTTTTTTTTCTTTTTGTTTCTTTTATCGATCTTAGCCTAGATTAATTGAATGTTTTTTGCCTCTTTGCAATGTGGTTTTGTGATTAAGTAATAAATATTTATGCATATGGTTGGTGGTGGTGGTGTGTAAATATGTTATCCTTGATCATATTTCTTGTTTTTTCTTTTTTTTTTTTTCTTTAGGTTTCTGTTGAAGACAAATAAATGCAAACGTTTGCAGCTTGTTCGGTTGGTAGCTCCTAACATCTTAACATCTTACAACTATATCCTTTTTTTATATATTCTCTGGTAATATAATTCCTATATACGATCGATAATCCATAATTTGTGTTTTGCTCAAAGCATCTTCTAAACAGTTTCTTAAATCTAACGATAACTTTTTGACTAAGAAACGGTATTCCAAAAAAAAAAATTGTATATATATATATATAAAAGTAAAAAACGAAAATTCAAGATTAACTATAAACAAAAGAGTTGAAGTGTTCAAGTGTGAGATATAGAGATTGATTTGCACAGCAAAGTGAGTGGGTTGGTTTAGCATGATACTGTAGCCTAGTAGAGCTATAATAACTAATAACTTATGATCTAAGCAAAAATATACATAATAAGCATAATCTCCAAAAATTCCGTATCCTCCGCGGAACGGGGGGCAGTTTTCAAAAAACTTCAAAGTCACAATGTGTTGGTTGCTTAAGTTTGTTCGAGTTCTTAAAATTCTAAAACATCACCATCATCGATTAATTATGCACAGGCATGGGCAGCTGACCGAGCAAATTGTTGGCAAACTGCGAGTTGGTGAACTTAAAGTGCCTTTTATCGTAGAACTTCAATAGTGCCGGCGAGAACGGATGGTTGTTCTTCAGATGCAGATAGTGCACTTCCGGTTCGCAGGTTGTGTGACCGCATTCCTCGCAGACATACATCTATAAACAAAAAGTAGGTTTTAGTTTAAAGGACTTTCTTCGATTTGAATACAAAAAATCATGAATAACCCATCTAAAACCCATGCTTACCTTAGCCCTGCGCTCCTTATAAGCGTACTGATGCTGAACACTGTGCACCTTCTGGCAATGCGACTCCAGGGAACAGCGCTGCGTGAAGCTCTTCTCGCACAGATTACACTTGTACGGTCGGACGCCCGTGTGGGTGCGTGTATGCCGCTTGAGGTCGAAGGTGTCATTAAATCCTTTGCCACAGAACGTGCATAGATATCGCTTGATATCCGAGTGGCATTTCATGTGACGATTAAGCAATCTTTGCAGCGAAAATGTCTTCATACAGACGCGACAGACAAACTTATTATTACCCGAGGATGAATCCTCGTTGGCGCCACCAGATGAGCCCATGCAAAGGGCTTCGGCGGAGCCGTGACTGCTGGCATTGCTGCTTGCACTGCTGTTGCTATGGTGCTGATGATGTTGCTGCTGTTGCTGTTGGAGGGATTGCTGCTGTTGCACCGATTGCTGCTGTTGCTGCTGCTGCATATTCTGCTGTTGCTGTTGTTGCGGCGAGCCTTGCTGCTGCTGTTGCTGCTGCTGCGAGTGGTGGCCATGCTTGCTGAGATCATCAATGCAATCGATGTTGCGTATTCTGTGATGGCCACCATGGGCATTCTCCACGGCCAGCGGGTTCTTAATGCCATGTCCACCGTTCACAAACTCCAGCTGTAGATCTGGCGGTAGGCCCAACTGTTTAAGAAATCATAAAATATTAATTAATAATGGTTACATCTTGGGTTTATTTATATTTTAAGGATTTAACTAAACAAAGACAATCACAGACAAACACAAACAACCGGTTGGGAACACATAATCGGGTTGGCTCATGGAAAGGATCGTTGGAAAATGACAAGGTCAGGTCAACCGTTTACCACCAAAAAACTTTCAAAGAACTGAAATGTCTTCTCAAGAAGTTTCTCAATCCTTATAATAGCTTTTTAGCTAAACTATTGGAGACCATCACTGTCCAATTTCCGACTCTACTTCCGCACTTACACGCCGTTGCAAGACTTTGCTCTCATTCAAAACTGAAACAGTGGGCGATGGCGCCAGCAATCCTGCTGCAGTGGCCGCCGCCGCCGATGCCAAAGATCTCAAAGTGGTGCGGTGCACCGTCTTAGTGGCCGGCACTTCGGGCGAGGATTTCAGAGTGGATATAAGTGTGATCATAGTAGAGCCATAGGCCACCGCCTTGGCCCGACCACGCAGCTTTCTGCCCGAAGAGGATGGTGGCGCTGATGCTGGTGGTGGTGGTGATGGTGTTGTTGGAACCTGAGTTCCTGATTCTTCTACTGGCGTCACCGTTTCCAATGTAAGCTCTTCGGTTGGCAATTCGGTTACCTCTGGTTTGGTTTCAATATATGGCTCTGGCTTAACTAGTACATCCAGAGATACCATCTCCACAAATTCCGTATACCTGGTGGTCTTCATCAAGGTGATTTGCTTTCCCTGTTTTTGCTGCTGTGATTGAGTATTAAGTTGCTTAACAAATGGAGTACTTACGCTTTGGATGAGTGGCTTGGTGTCCAGCAAGGCGGCTGCTGCCGCTGCCGCAGCATTGGCATCCAAAAGTGGACTGTTGCTGCTACCACCGCTGCTGTTGCTACTGTTTGTGCCGCCGGAGCTGCTGCTACTGCTCATCGGTCGCTGCAAATGAGCAGCGGCAGCCGCAGCAGCAGCAGCAGCAGCCGCCGCAGCAGCTGCAGCTGCAGCAGCAGTCGGCGAAGGCAGTGACATGTTGCTATTGTCATGTCCATGGCCATGATGATGCGAATGATGAGACTGTTGTTGCTGTTGCTGCTGTTGTTGTTGCTGGTGGTGGAAATGATGCTGTTGCTGTTGCTGATGATGTTGCTGCTGTTGCTGTTGAGCATACATATTATGCTGCTGATAGGCAACGGCATGTTGCTGCTGATGATGCGATTGTTGCTGTTGGCTAAGCAATTGCTGCTGTGACATCATGGCAGCCTGCTGCTGATAACCACCGTGCTGCGTTTGCTGTTGCATCATCAGGCCACGTGTGGCATGTTGATATGAAGGCGGTGGTTGTTGCTGAACATGTTGTTGCTGTACATTATGCTGCTGTTGCACATTATGCTGTTGCTGCTGCACATTGTGCTGCTGCTGCTGTTGCACATTGTGCTGTTGATGATGCTGCTGTTGTTGGTTGCTGCTATTCCTGGCCATATTGTGGGTCAATTGGGTCAACAGATTCTCATGCAGGGCATCCAATTGGGATGTATTGGCATTATGCTGCTCAACGGGCGTCACCGAATCCGGTGTCAGCGATGGCGTGGACACCAGCTCGAAATCCTGACGCGGACTGGTGGACTCCTCATCGTCCACACAGCTTCGCTGCAGGAATGAACTCAAGTCCACGGCATCGGATAGCTGTTCTAGCAGATGATCGGTCTGAGAACTCAACATCAATGTAGCCGTAAACTGCAACGGATCGACGGCACCATTGGGACACTGACCCGAACTGGCCAAATCCGACATAATAGCATCCTCATAGGCGCTGGCATTGAATTGACCGGAGCTGCCCATTGTTGCCTGGATAATGTTCTGAGCGAAGGTTCCAATATCAATCTTCGCCTCGTCGTACTCAATATCCGGTTCATCCTTGAGTATTATGCCATAGGCTGAGGGATTGCCGCCATAAAAGGGATGACCCATCATCGATGATTGACCACCATTGTTGTTGTTATTATTATTATTATTATTATTGTTGTTGTTGTGATGATGATGATGATGATGATTATGGAATTTGGAATTGGAGTCGTTATAGTTAGAAACACTGGCGAAGTTTAATAGATTATTACCGTCGAGATTATTGTTTGGACCACCAACTCCTCCGCAGTTGATGTAACCATTACCTCCACCACCACCACCACCGTTTGCCGATGCTCCACCGCCAGCTCCTGATCCTCCACCACCTCCGTTCCCAGATCCTCCTCCGGAACCTGCTGACATTATGTATGCTGCCGCTGCTGCGTTTTGCAGGAAATTCGCTGGATTTGCGTTAAAATGCGAGTGATTACCACCGGGACTTTGGCCCGTATTACTGCTGGCCGTGCTCTGTTGGCCGCTCTTTAAGCTTTCGTAAAATGGTGGCAATGCACCCGTTGGCGGTGAATTGGGTCCGTAATTCCCTCGGCCGTCACGACCACCGCCCATGCCACCACCGCCTCCGGCACCGGATCCTGGTGAGCCAGCACCGCTACCGGCGTTCTGGTTCCCACTAGATGAACCACTGCCGCTATTTTGGCTACCAAATCCAGAGGATTGAAAACCCTGACCGGCAGCACCGCTAGAACTGCTACTGTTACGACCGTGACCGGCTGCGGCTGCCAAAATACCAGGCAATGAGCGCACCAATCGCGGATTTAGCCTTTGGGACTGGGCCAACAAGACGCGGGCAGCCAAAATGGTGCTCCTGCGTCGTGCCTCACGCACCTGTCGTGCTCTTTCCAGCCGTCTGGCGTTCAGTTCCTCATCAGAATCATACGATGGGCTTCGTCGCTTGGGAACGTGGTAATCGATGGGTTCCTGTTGCTCTGGGCCAAGTTGATCCAATGGTGGCAGAAGGAAACCACTTCGGCTAGTTGGCAATTGAGATTGCGGTGCCCGTTGGATCACCGAACAGCGAACAGCGGGCGCAGGATCACGTGGAGGCGGCGGACTTGGTCGCTGATCCGCTGGAGGCGGTGTGCTGCGCAGGCGCAAAGATAAGGGCTTAATCACCGGCAATGGAGGCTTCTCATCGACAATTAGCTTGCAGCCGCCATCCGAATCGGAATCCGAATCGGAGTCACTTTTCGGTGAAGCTGGTGAGGATTGTTGGGTGAGGGTAAGGGTTAAGGACAGATCCTTTGGCTCTTGGGGATATTCCTTGCGTTGAGCCTGGGTTAAAACCACGCCGGTATTATAAAAGCGTGGGCGTGGTGCTTCTACACCCACATCCACAACTTCGTCTTCGTCCTCCTCTTCCTCTTCTTCGCCCTCCGCCGCCTTATCTTTGCTTAGCTTTTCTTCTACTACCACCGCTTCCTCGCTCTCTTTTACTTTCTCCTTCTCCTGCTGTTCTTTCACTTCTCCTTCGTCGTCTTCTTCGTGAATTTTTGGTATGCTGATTGGGGAATTTTCAATTGTGCAGTCTTTTGTGGTTAAAACGGAGGTGGCGGCTTTACTATTATTAACCAAATTATCACCTTTGACAGGCGTTATGGGGTTAACAATATTATTTTGTGCTGTTGTGGTGGTGATAGTAGTGGTGTTTGGGGTTAAACGCTGTAGCAATTCAGCAGCAAAGTTTTCTGTAATACAAATAGAATAAAACAATAAATAATTAAGAGTTGGTTTAAAATAAAATACTTAACTAAAGTATAAAACAATAAACGAAAAATAAGAACTTTATAGAACTTTCGAGAGCAAGCTAAAGAAACAACGGAAAATCACCGAAAATGAGAGAAATTACAAGTTTTGTCTTTCAATTTTTAAGATCCGTTCACTTGAGCGTTCGCCGTTTAACTGTAAAAAGGAACGGAATTTTTTTCTACGAATAGTGATCTTCCTTTTGTCCCACATTCGTCAAGTGTCTGAGCTGCATATGTGTGTGTGTGTGTGGGTGCCAACTGCAACTTCAGAGTTGTCAAGGGGTCAAAAAATTAGGAAATTTAAATATAAATTTAAGCTCTTAAAAATAAGCTTAAATAATAATAATACAAAGAAACTAGATCAGAACAATGCAAATATATAATACAAGTTCAATAATAATCAGTTATAAATGGCAATTATGTTTTTTCTATTGATTTTCGCTTTTATCTTATCTACTCCCCCTCTTCCTTTTCTCCAGCATACATGCTGATGATGAAAGCGCCCTCTGACGTATTTTCTTTGATACTACTAATTTCGAAGGCTTTTTCTTCATTCGTTGTTAGAAATTCAGTGAGAGAGGTCGTAAATCAGTGCGATCGGCTAATTATGCCGATTACCAATTACAAGTGCAAGTGCAAAGACAAAACAAGTGAAGACAAGGTGAACCACTAAAAGCCGTCTTGGCTTTAAATCAAAACAAGTGCAGTGCAAAAAAGAAAAACAACAACATGTAAGCAAGAAAACCAACAACAGTGCATAGTTAAGTTATTGTTGCTTCGATCAAGATCAAGGCTTTTTATTAATGTGCTTGTGTGTGTTTGGTGGCGTGGGTGTTGTTATTGGTGTGTTGTTTTCTTGTCCCTTTGCGAGTGTGTAATTGCATACATATGTATGTACACAAATGTGTTTTTGCAATTACATGAGTGTTTGCAATTACAAATGCCAATCACGCGTTTTGCTATCTCGCTCTGTTGGTCATGGTCAACTATTGCAGTTGCTGCGCAGTCGACGCCGCATAAATTCTAACTGTCAAATGTGCGCGCACACACACACACAAACACAAACACTTTAAAGCCTTGGTCTTAAATGTTTTTAAAAGCATTTAAATATATTATAAGAAGTGTATACAGTTTTGAGTTGAAAATTTAATAACCGTTCCACTGTAAATTCAAAAATAATTGATCGTTTGCCTTGTTTTAACGCATTTTTCCCCTCACCCTCGTGCCAAATACCTGGCATGCCATTTATGTTTTTAATGGGTTAATAGATATACCACGCCCACATGGCTAAATTCTACACGCCCAGCTTCTATATTTACATGGGTTCTACATCTTACATGTTACAAGTTTTTAGTTACGCGCGTGTGTGTGTGTGTGTGTGAGTTTGCATTGCCATAGTTGTAATTTATTTTATTGTGTTAAGGTCAAGGCGAATTGTAAAATGTTTATAATTACACACAAACATACACACACACACACACACTCCAACTACAGTAAAAATGTTTGAGCTTGAGTTTTTCAAGTTGAAAATGAAATGCGAAAAAGGCGGCATTTGTTACTTGTTTTTTTTTTTCGTATCATTTTTGTGTGTTGCTGCCATGAGGAAATGAATTTCAATTGAAGTTGTATTTTGCGATATAAAAAACAAAAAATACAACAAAAAAACAAAGCACAAGCATTGACCTCGAGCCAACAGCAATTAAAACAAAGTGAGAAAAAAATAAAAAACAAGTAAAACTAAAACAATTAGAATTTTTCTAGCTAAAAAGAGAGGGCAATAATTGCTGATTACATAGAGTCCCTTTCAATCCATCTCGCTCTAGCCAACGTTGCAGAGTTCAATGGACGATTTATCCTTTACCGTAAATCAATTTACATACTCGCTCTGTCAAGCGAGTGTGTGTGTGTGTGTGTGTGTGTGCTTGAACTTTTCAATTTAAATTTATGCCCCACTGAAATCGTCGGCTTCCACCGATTTTCGTCTAGCGCAAAATGCGTCGTAAAAAGACACAACAACAAATATCAGCAAAATGAAGAGATAAAAATTGGGAGAAAAGACTGAGATAAGACAAATACGCAAAAGGTAGGCGAAAAAAAAGTACAAGCTCAAAATCAGAAGAGATAAGTTTATGTGTAGTACAGTGGGAGAAAATGAAATATTTTTAAAAAAATATTAAACAGATATTATCATCTAATATCTATAAAAAACTCATTTTAGGTAACATTTACCTAATACTATTATTTCACATTTAATGTTAAACTATTTATTTAAATTTTCTTTGAGTGTACTATACTACGTATATACGTAAATTGTGCATGGCAATGCCGACAAAGCCGAGCTCTTCGATACGTACCGTTGAAGTTGTCGTCTAGAATTCGTAATTTACGTTTTTGTTTTGCTTTGTATTTTTCGCGCCTCCCCCTCCCCCCTTCTCTATGTACATATGGATTTTTGAAATTTTACGGGTTTGCCGCCTGCTAATTGGGTAGATGAACCCAGGTTTTTCAGTATTCTGCGGGAATTTCCAAGTAATTTAAATTAAGTATTCCCTTCTGAGTGGGTGGGGAGTTTTCCTAACTTTATATTTAGTTCCTTGTTGTGATGTTAGGTTCCTGAATTATGTATTTATAAGTTTTTTTTATATATTCGTTGGTTTTTTTGAGGAAGACTTTATACTTTTATGCGGGTGACACCTGAATATAATGATAAATAACCTGAAATTCCCTTAAAAAGATGCATATAAAACCTAAGCCAGGGCTGTTTAACTTGTTTTTTTATGAAAATTTATAGAAAAAATATTAGAAAATGAAAACTAAAGGAAAAGCAAACTTATTAAACTTAAAACAATTTGAAACTTAGAAGAATTGTTAATAAAAATAATATATAAAAATTATATTTTTCTATCTAGAAAGAGACAATTTTAGTCAAATTCCAAACGCATTCTCAACTTATCTCATATTGTATTCCTGGCATGAACGACAATTCGATGACGGCACACCCACCCACCCATACATCTACCTCCCCCTTTTGGCCTTCCAACCTTCCTTCTTGGTCTTGTGCTTGTGCTTGTGCTTCTTCATGTTTGTTTTATATTTCTTTTTTTGTTGTATTTCTCAAGTGGTTCTCTGTGTGTCTAATTGCAAATGCCAAACACGTTGACAGAGGCGGTAACGTTTTCCAAGCAGCTCTGCCCATATACAAATCTTTATTTATACGATATTTGACTAAATGAGTGAATACATATATAGCTGACTTAATGAATATATATATATATATATATCCAGAGTTAAAACTCTTGGATTCATCGTGTTATTCATAATAATAACGCTAATCATGCTGCAGCATACATACCATAAATTGACCTCAATATTAACAACATGCACCAGGTGCTGTGTTTGTTCTCTTGATTAGCTATTGTTTAAAGCATTTAGTAATGATCGAATCTAACAGATAATTGCTATGGCTTATAGTGCAAAAAGAAGAGGTAATACTCTTCGAAAATCTCTGATAAAAACATTAATTAAAAGTTGTAATTTTCATTAAAAGAAGTTTTTTCTGGAAGTTTTTAAGTACGATGGGGCAATGTCAGCCCTCCGTTGATCCATGAACCTTTAGCCAATCTCCTGCTTGGGGGTGACCCACTTGGGTATACGCATGATCCACCCCAGCAGCCACCCATCGAAACTTTTGCTTTCGCAAAGCTCTCAAATAAGCTCTCAAATATAATAAAAACTAAAACGATTGCAAATGTCGAACGGAATTTAATAGAGCATGAAACTAAACAGAAAACGTTGACAAATGCAGAAAAAAAAAAGTATATATATTTATATATATGGTAGACTTAAAATGAGATGGAAATAAATGCGAAAGTTTGGTTTGGAAGTGTCATCGATTAGCCGACAGACAGCTAATCAATATCCTGGCTAACTGACAAGTGCGTGTTGCCAATATTCTTTCTTCTTTCAAATGTCCAGAGCCGAAAAAGTCCAGAAAATTATAAAGAATAGAATAGCAGATGCAGGAGAACCCTTGTCAAGAAAAAAAAGGGTGAAATAAAAAGAACTTAAAGAACGGCAGGAAGGAAGGAGCTTCCTGTGATCCTGCCAAATTGATGAATGCATCCGTTTGAAGGAAGAGGAAGTTCGAGCTTCTAACAGGTGCTTTTAAGGTCCTTTCCCCGATCTGTTTTTCTGACCAAATGACCTAATGTCCTCGCGCTTCCCTTACAAATTATGTAGTGTAGTGTAAAAGCCTAAACAGCGAACCCTTTTTTTTTTTAGTTCGCCAAGTTCCTGGCATCAGCATTTAGCAATTCTAATGCCAAAGAGCAGCCAAGTGTTGTGCCACAACCCATTTGCAACACGATCCGATCCGATCGGATAGTGTTTTTGTATTTTTTTTTTGTTTTTTTGTAGTCTTTATTTTGGGTCTGTATCAAGATCAAGATCAGAGACCCTCGGGACAGTCTATAAATTTATGGGCTCCTTTTCTTCGCTGCCCCAAAATGAATTTGTCTCTAACGCCCAATTTGGCTTTTGGGTTTTTGTTAAGGTTATTTTTTTTTTTGTGTATTTCTTTCGGTTTCTTCCGCTTCAGCTGCTGCTGCTGCTGTTGCTGTTGATAGTTCGATTTCTAAGGGCTTTCGAAGGTCTTTATTAGGGCCTTCCGTCTCGGGTTACCCACTCATTTCATACCGCTGGCCGGCAAAACTTCAACTTAAAATGCATTAAGTGCCATGCAATTAAGTTTTTATCGATCCTCGAAAATCTGCCCATCGATTGCTGCTTTTGTTATATGTTTATATATGTATATATATGTATATATCTTTCTTTATATATATGTGTTTGTATTTATAAACATGCCCTCTTCGAACGATATGTTTTTAAGTATATAAATTATAAATTGCCGACGCGTTAACAAAATAATTTCGTTTAACTTA